AACGAAGGAAGAGATGCAGAGTTTCTTAAGGTCTTTCTGATTATAATCCTGCTACAGAAATTCTGACTCTATTTTTTCTAGCTACTCGTGAAGTTTTGTGTGATTTCTTTTTCTTTTTTACGATCGCTATCCACCGCACAAAAACAGGTTTGAGTATGTTCCTATTTTGTATCATTTTTACATTAAAATCCAGCTAGATTATTATTCTACAATAGCCTCAAAATGCTGTGGGCATGCTGTATTTAATATTTAAACCTTCATGTGATGTCATTATTTAATTTTATGGTACAGTTCCATAATTGGAACTGTGCGAAACCACAGCAAAAATATGTGCACAAAAGTGCCAAATCTATCAGACATGCCCTTTTAATCACAAACTGCTTCTGAAGTTAGATTTCTGTAAATGCGTGCAAGTTTAGATAGTTATGAGTTTTCAAGTTGCCTACTGGAAAGAATCCTGTAATGAGAAGAAAAGATTAAAAACACAAAACTGGTTTGGAAGATCGAGTAGTCCCTTCCTTACAGCCATGAGGTTCATCTGCTTTTGGTGTCAGACGATATCTGTCAATTTTTTATGAAATCCAACTGATGATAGAATATTACATGTGTGAGGCCTGTGCCACAGGTTTATTTGTTTGGCCTACATTGAAAATCGTGACATGTGACAAGATTATTGAGTTAAATGAAAACCTTTTCATTTGAAGAAAGAACAGTGTTGGGTGTTTTCAGTCACAGTGGGTTTTTGGCAGGTTGTGCAGAGAATCAAATTGATGTTTTTTAGTCACTGTTCCAAAAATTGACAAAAACCTTTTTTGAATATCACAACAGAAAATACTACTAGTATTGATTCTGGTTGCTGGAAAGGATATCAGTTGGATGAACTGTGATATACCTGAAAGTGCTATCATACACAGAGAGTAGAGCTGCTATTAAGCAGTGCTAAATGGTATAATAAATAGCATCAGAGCAGTGCTTGACAGCACCTCGATTGTTATTTGTTCAAATTTATAGGGAGATATTCACCCCCCCAAAAAAAAACTGAAATTTTCCCTGCAGTTTTGGAAAAGCTCATAAATTTTATGCCTTCCGTTTAATTTCATTTATGTTTAGCCAGTTTATTTTTTTATTATTATTTATTTATTTTATGAATTGTTATAAAAAAGTCTTCCCCCCTCCCTCCATTTATAGGCATTGACCACTTTTAAGGCCAGAAGTGGCGGTCTCTTTAATATTGAGGCACCTAATAGGTGGGCCACCGTTGCGTCCTATGAAGGAATCGGCAAATTACATCTATGCTTTCTGTGAGATTCGAATCTGGGTCCTTCAGTCAGTCACTAACCACTTTTTCATCTGGGTGGTGTAATCAAGGAAAAGTAATACATGAAATTTACCTTTCATTTAAATTAAAATAATATTCTTAAATAGCCATTTACTATTAAGTTCCTTTCCTTGCGTTATGGTTACTGTATTATTTTCATCATCCAATGATGCCAATAATAGTTTGGTAATTGTTTACTGTCTCAATAACAGAAGTATGCCGTTTTATATATGCTGCTAAAATTGTCCATCTTACTATTGTGTTAGCATTACTATATTCATGTAAATTTATTTATAATAGTTGCGTCAATTTGTACACTGTTTATTCTGGCCAAACATTAGATTTTTTTCATTAATATTATACTGAAATTAGAAGTGTTAATAATCATCCAAGTGCCTTGAGTGAAACAAAGAGTTGGATATTTTTCATTTTAAATCAAAAGCTAGAAACTATAGTTCTTAGAAATAGAGGAACATGTTAAACATTGAGCTTAACTGAAAACTAGTAGATCTCTTGGGTACTTATGGAAAATCCTTTCGACCACTTTTGCCTATTAAAGAAAAGATGTCAAACTACATGAATTTTTGTCAAAAATGGAAGTCTTCAAACACACTGGGTTTGGTGTAACCTTGATTACATGTGTTAGTTATTATTCTTGAATAAAGAATCCTTTCTTTTCCCTCTGTCGTGCATTTTCGAAAAAAAAAAAATGGTTAAAATTTGGGACCTGCCTACTACAGAAGAACATGCGGTTGAATATTTCCAAAGTTATGGAATCTTACCGGCCTCAAAAAAATGTGTTAATGGCCACGAAATGGTGCCTAGCAAAAATAATTGCTTTTACAGTATATCTCCTTATTAAAAAATAATGGGAATTTTTAACGAAAAATTAAATATGCATAAAGGATAGTATAATAAATTTGGAAAAAAAAATAAGACTAGAACGTTTTTTATTGTATTTGTAATTTTTTTTTTTTTTTGGCACGATTGACGCCATCTCTTGTGGTTGATGAGATTTTCTCGTAAGTACCAATCTCTTGCATCTAATAGTTTATTGAATTATGAATTCGTATTTCTTGAAAAAATTTAATAGTGATAATCCAGTACCATTCATGTAAGAAAACAGGAGCCCTTTTGGTTTATAGTTTATAATATAGCATAAATATTGCTTTTCTATGCACTAGAAAAGCAATAAGTTTGTAATTAAGACACAATAACACGCCGAACAAACACCAATTTGCGGTTTTGCAGCTGAGGATGGTGGTTCGGTAAAACCATCAAAACTAGTCCTGTGGAAATTTTGTGGATGAGGCGCTGATTTTTGTTGTTTGTCTTCTGAATAAGTTTGTACTCATTTTCTTCTGTTGAACTGGAACTGAACGTCTTCAATTCATCATCTTATGTATCTTTATTAATGCTTATGTGTGACTGAGACCAGTTTAGCATTCTTATATGTAAGTACTTCTCATAGTTTTATTTTTATCCCTTAAATTCAATCAAGAATATCCATATTTTAAGCAGAATTAACCTAGTAATGTTTTCAAACTTCTCAGTAATTTTCATATTAAATAAATTTTTTATGAAAGGATGCATTGGTAAATTCATAAGTTGTAACATTATTGCTTTTTATTGTTACCAGGTCATACAGCATATGGTAAAATACTTTATAACTGACTACCTTGCAATTTTACAATCACTGTATCAATTGGGAAAATTTATTGCATTTTATTTGGTAAAGAATCCAACAAATAGCAACTTAAATCTACTTAAAACATCAGTATTTTTCAAAAAATTTTTAAATATATGGAACCGAGCTCATTTTTGGCCCTTTAAAGTAATATATTTACTTTGTAAACTATAATTTCTTTGGAATTCGATACAATTTAAATTTGTTATGCATATATGTAGAATAATTTAGAAAGAATGAATTTTGCACATTGGTGTAAAATAGGTATGTGTACTAGAGGAATCGATCGGTTATCTATTGATAATAGCAGATGTCTTCAGTGAATGGGGCAGGAGTTAAAAAATATAGATAGATTGGTAACAACAAGGTTTGGCTAATTTTTGGATTATGGTAACTTGGCGAAACTTTGGCGACCAACCCTGCTACAGCAACCTGCTAGTTTTGTTTTGGACGCTATTTTGTTTTCACGAAAGTAAAGGCATGTTTTTTTTTTCCTCAACATTTTTTCCAACAATCTGCTAGCCGAATTATGCTTATACTAGAACTTTTATGGAACAAAAGTGTTTAATCATGACGAAGATAAAGTGCGAAATTGGGAGAAAGTGCAGAATCGCCAATGCTTGCCGCGATTTTAAGAATTGCACATACGCGTTATCCATGTACACGTCGACCTATTTTCACTTAAAAAAACATCCCAGAATTGCACAAAAATGGCATTGCGCACACTCTTGACTTTATCCATGTACACTGCTAAAGTCCTAGCTAGTAACCTTTATCGCCTTACCAAAATGTCGTCAAACTACCTGTTACCATATTCCAAAGATTAGCCCAGGGTTTAAATTCAACTGGAGCTTAGCTCCAGTAGTTCTCAGATTTTTTATCAAATAGTAATCCCTGTTTGGAGACAATTGGATATTTTGTTGCATAACAAGGATTTTCAGATTACTGCACTAATACTCTGACCTTTGCATTAAAAGACCATATGAGAGAAATGTCTTGAATCTCTCATATTGTCTGGTTGTATGTTTTGACTTAAGGTTAACAATCGGAAATTTGCAAATTTTGGGAATACAAGTAAATCTATGTTATTTCTGATTTCCTTAGGTAATCACTAAAAATAATGTGCACATTGGGCAGAAAATATTCCTACCAGGTGAACTGCTTATGGAAATTAATTTTTTGGCACACTTTGCGGCTGCATAATAATCTTCCAGCTCTTAGTCTAGTGCTGCATTGATGCTATGTTAATTACTCTTTTAAAATGCTCAATTTAGTATAATATTTCAGACTTCATGCAACTATCATGAGTACTTTTCTCTAAATACTGGCATTATTATCAAAAAAACTTCACAGTGACTATGAAATGACTGTGATTGTTTACTTTTGAAAGATTGTATCACATCAGCTACATGCAACCTCATGGCTGTAAGTTTTAAAAAAAATAGTAAGCAAAAACATTGTCTATCTTGACAAAAGAGCTTGTCTATGCATGTTTAAATGTATATTGCTTACTGCAAAAATGGATAGGCAAATTTTGAAAATTGGCACTCATATTAACTGGGCTAGGAAGGTGTACATCTTGAAATGATTTTTTTTTTTCCCAAAATTTAATTTAGTCATTATTATTATCATTTAATTTTGAAACCATAAACTTTTATTACATTCCAAATTTTTGCACATACATTTTCTTAATGAGCAGAATAATAATCCTAGAATTTTGCTGTTTGCACATTGGATAGAATGGGAGAAACATTATTCCAATTCTCTAACGTAATTGATTTGAATTTGGGAGTTTTCTAAAAATTATCCATTATATTTTTAATTTCAACACCTAAAAATGTATTTGTACTAAACGTTTTTAACTTTTATGAGCTTTAAAACAAATTCTTTGCCCTATTTTTTAAAGTGAGAATAATAAAAAAAAGTATTTAATTAGGTGATTTTTCTACATTTTTTTTTTTTTTTTTTTTTTTCCAAATATGAAGCATTATGCTGTAGAATCATTAGGTTTTTCTGAAGCAGGAGATGGAAAAAATGTGCAGTGCCCTCTCCGGGACTTAAACCCTGGATCTCTCAAATACGCATCGATTATGCTTCCAATAACACCACAAAGGCATACAGAAAGGAGGGATAAAATACCTTATAATGTTTTGAACGAGCAGGAAATTACTTTTCCGTATTGCAACCTGATGGCGTTGATATTCACATTATAAGACATCATATATTCACTTTTTCTTTCTAATTGTAAGAAAGCATTTCCAAGATGGTAAGGACTTTATGTGTATCTGCCATTTTCTTCTGACATTGGTTCTTTTGTAAGTTTGGTGCATTTGTACGGCAGCTGCATTCTGTGTATTCATTTTAACTTTTGGAGTTGTTGATAAATATTTTAATATTAATTCTTATATATATTAATTTATGTTTATATTGGTATTTATATTTTTTAATACATTGTGAGTAAATAATTTGCAATACATTCCAATAATTTGATCACATTTAAACAGTGAAATAGGTTTTGGCACAAATTAACTATATGCAAAAGCTATTTCAAAAGTCTGTTATCTTAATTGTAAGATAATGTTATACAGGATATGCATAACATTATCTTCTATCTAATATTATTATTAAGAGAATTACATTATATTCTCCTAATCTAATCTCTTCTTGAATATTTTTACTTTTGATTTAATATGCATAGGAGTTGAATCACAGTGAAAACAATATAAAATGTTATTTATTATTTTTAAATTGCATATATTTTTTTAAATATTATAGCTCTGTTTTTGATATTTTTGTAGTGGTAATTGGAAAAAAAGTATATGGTTGTAACAGTATTTTTTATTTCGCTTTTTTAATTAGAAATTCAAGATAGTATCAAAAAGCTTCATAAGATGTTGCATCCACAGATGAGAGAAGCAATGGGTGAAGCTCGACCATTCGACAAAGAGCAAAAGGATAAAAATAGGGTTTATTTCCTTTTTTTTTTTTTTTTTTTCTTAACTATCTAAATGATTCCTCTCTTTTTTATGTTTAGAAACATATTAGCATCGTTATGAAAATTTTTTGAAGCATAAAGATACATTCATAAATTAATACTTAATATAATAATTGAATATGTTTATCATTAATGAATATGATTTCAAGCATGAAATGTAGTAGAATGATTCATGGTCGTTTTTAAAATGCTGAAACTATTTAGCTGTTAGATTTTCTGTTATATATTAAGAATTTAAATTTACTTTTGAAAAGCATATTTTTTATAAGTCTTCAAATTTAAGAGGCTTATATGTCTTCATTAAGTGCATGCTTTATTTTATTGTATTTTGATATCTGGTTCTCTTTTGTAGTTCTCTCAAAAAGGCATGTTATGTCTATGTTCTTAAATGCTATGCATCTAATGGTATATTTATTTTCATTTTTATTCTTTTATTGCTTATTATTGGTGCATTAAATCACAGAAATATTATGTATTAAAAATGATTTTTTAAAGACAAGCATATTGTTAAGTATTTTAAATATTTGTAACACTACTTTATCTGTGATTTATTTTCTATTAATAGTTTATTTTTGAAAAAAAAGTCAGTATTCTGATGTTAGATGTTGCTTTTATACATTTTAAAAGTTAATCCCTCCCATTTTTGCTCCTGTAATTATATGTTATTATATCTGAACCAAGAAAATTAAATGTGGTTGTAGAATTAGCTAAAAAGTGTTTTATTACCAGTAATTAATTATAAATGAGTTTATAATTAATTACATCTTTAGAAAAAGAAAGGATTATTTTTTTTTAATCTTGTATTTTATTTCTCCTTCCAAATTATAATCAGCTCTTTCACTTAAGAAGCTCTATAGAAGAATAATGCTCTCTCTACCCACTGACAAATGTTGCAAAATTTCTATCTATCAATTTTAACTCCAATTTCTCTTTTCATCTTAAAAATATAATGACTTTGCAAATCTTAATTCATGTGTTACATTTAGCTACCTGGTTGATCCTGCCAGTAATCATATGCTTGTTTCAAAGATTAAGCAATGCATGTCTAAGTACATGCTGTATTAAATATGTTACATTTTATGGAACCTATGTAAGGTATTAATTTTTCTTTAAATATGTTCAATCCTGGTATTTTATTAAAAAAAAATCTAGGCACAGAGAATGTTAAGGGCATATTTATATATTAATAAGGAAGGTAATTGCGTATTAATTTGAAAACATCCAAATTTAATCCTTTACTATTTCAATTCAAAAGCTCTTTGCTTGTTTTGTTCCTTTTGATAGAAAGAGCTTACTTTTAATTCTTATTTGAAGCTATTTTACTTTATATTTTTATCATAAATCTAGTCTGGCTTTTTTGGGGGGATGTACAGTGAATTTTGGGGGGGGGGGTGTACAGTGTTTTTTGGATGATGATAATGTACAGTGAATAAGTCAATCTGGAGTTCTGTATCTTTCTCATGATTATTCATTTTTTTAAATAAATGTACATATTTTCTGTATTTTACATGTAATCGAATGTAAATAGTAAAAATGAAAATAAGGACCTGAGGACACTGAAATGAGAGGAATGCAGAATTCTTTAATGTATAACATAAAACTATTCTTTAATTTATTCTTTAATGTCTATAATGTGTAACATTGCTTTCTTTATTGATCCAACCTTTTATGTTTTTTGCAGATTTTCCTTCATCCTTTCATGAGGCATTCTGCTAAGCCTCAGTCAAAAGGTGCTGGTGCTGTAAATTTGGTGGTCCCAGTATATACGATTGCAATAATATTGTTTTTTATGTATTCATTGTTCAAAGTAAGTGTAGCCTACATGTTTTAGTTTTTGTGTTTGCTATTTTAATTCATCACACAATACATACATGGTGATATTATAATATATATAGAGAGAGAGAGGTTATGTGTCTTAAATATCTGGAAACATTTTATGTCTGTTTGGTTCAGCATCTCTAATCTGATATTTGAGTATTTTACTGCAAGTAAAAAATCTGCATAATATTTCAGAAATTTAATTTTCTTTAAGTTTTATTCTAACAGGGTTCATAGCGGTCCTTATAAGTGCTTATAAGTCCTTATATTTGAAAATAAAATATAAAGGCCCTTAAAGGTGCTTACTTTTTCTTTAAAGCCCTTATTTTTTTGTTTTTTAGTGCTTATTTTTTGCTTTTAGAGCTTTTTTTTTAATGAATGCGCTATTTTTCCCCCCGTACCAAAGCCGAAACTAAATAAACAACTTTTCTTCCTAATATGGAATGTCAGATGGTGAGTCATACTCCCGGAAATAGCTTTTCCCCCTTTCTCTGCATTAACATAACCTTTGGTGTGCACAAAGAGTACAGACAGGTGCCCGTCCTTCTATTGGTCAAAGAATTGCGAAAGCAGTGAAAATTCCGCTACATTCGGCATTCTTTTCCTCCCACCCAAATACTATACACGTTTGAATTTCTTTCAAGATCTTAAAAATTTGCATTTTCGTTTCGCTTGGTCAGTTCATGTTCATGTTTATTATGATCGTTATGCTTATATTATGAGCATATGTATGAATGTTTATAATAACATAGTTGCAGTAACTGCTGAAGTATAGTAAACTTACAAAAATGGTTCTGTTTTAACACAGATTAGCTTTCTAAGGAATAATATTCGGAATGGCTTAAATAAAGGGAAAGTAATCGAATAGTCAAAATAATTTAATTTTTTTGGCCAATATATTATACAGTACGAAGGTTGAGAGGTCTCGCTTTTCTCCGCAAAATCTTGAATATTGAAACCGTTACAGTTCGCTGCAAAACAAGCAACGGACTTTTTTTTTTTTTTTTTTTTTTGTCACTTTGGATTGAATAGGACTAAAAGTTCTGCTGTCTACCAACCCAAGCGAAGAATGATTCTATTCCGAAAATTTAACGCCATCTTTTGAAAATTAGAATGAAAAATACCCCAGTTATTTAGTTCTTTATTCTCCCAATACCGGCAGTTGTTGATTCCGATTGCGTAATATCACATAGGGAAGAATTACGGCGCACATATTGTGCAATAATGTTTGCAGAGATAATTAATTTTGATGTTCAGTCCGAGATTTGTTTATGAACACTTAAAAGAGTTTTACTGTGCTTGCTAAGCAGAATATTTTTTACTTTCGTTGGTTTATTTTTATATGATGCACATATTGAAATGTCAAAAGCATTTATTTAGCAAAAAAATCTAAAGAGCGGCTACAGTATACCCCCCTTCCGCTCCTTCAAGTTACGCTCGACTGTCCGAATATTCGCCAATTTCCAAGTGTGCGGGTTAGTTAACCTTTTACTGTTAAAGATGACTGCATACTGCATGAAGCCAATTTCTGTCTTCTGATTTCAGAAATGTTCCTCTTTTTTACTTAAATTACTTTGCTTGCAATATCTGTTAAAAGAAAACTGATATACAATGAAAATTTAGAAATTGTTCAGAATTTAGATTTAAATTATTTAAATATCAATATGAGTGGAAAAATAAATTGTATTTATTATTAGGTTCCAAGCGAATACAATAAATATACCTTATTATTATTTATTTTCTCTATTTTGAACTGAAATTTCATCATTAAATCTTGTAATATAGTTTAGTTCTTCATAGTTTTTTTATTCTCTCATTGTAAACAAGTTCTGTAAATTGAACTATTATTTAAATCTAAAAACAGAAAAAAAGTAATTTATTTTGTATGGTTGAGGTAATGCTTGTTGTCTCTTAATAAGTACTTCATTTCTCATATTTTAAATTACAAGTCTAATTTTTAAGGTTATGCAGTTGTGTATGATGTAATTAGACAGGTGCTTATTTTTTTTCTTAAAATGTGCTTGAACAGTGCTTATAGGTGCTTATTTTTTTTAACTAAAATGTGGCTATGAACCCTGTCTAAGGTTTGTCCTAACTCTAATTGTAATTGTGAGAATATATTAAGTAGTTTCAAAAGTGTGTTGCATTGTAAAGTAGTGCAAACTTTTAATAGGAATATGGTAATTAATTCCCGCAATATTTAGGTGGTAGTATGGAACATTGTTAATAACAAACTGTCCATAGCAAATTGCTGTGAACTTATGCACCATCCCAATAATAAACTTTTTACCCTTTTTACCCTGTGAGACAAAATTTTCAGAATTTATGTGATAATTATGTCTGTCTGCGCAGTTTCATTGGTGGATTAATTATAATGCACATTTAAAAATTAACTCACACACAGTTATAACTGACATAAAATATTCTATGTCAATGGCCATAACCACATTTAAACACAAATATAAAAGTACAGGAGCTTTCAGACAATCCATCTGCTTCATTAGCAGGACTGAAATGGATGCCTTCAACATGACTGTCATCTTTTACCAGTTTCCACAGGATTGCTGTTCTCAGATTTGTAGTCCAGTTGTACGAAAGACTGCAGAGAAGATCTGTGTCACAACATGGCTTAGTTGTGATTTCAGTTGCTTAATTTCAGGGCTGTTTTTGTGCTGAGGTTTGGTAATGATTTTGTCTTTGTCCCATTCAGTTATTGGTTGTAGATGCTCAGTGAAATAATTGACTAAATATGAACTGTTTTCATTGATGAACGGGTTGCTAGAGCTTGCAGATATCTTTTTTATGTTTTGCAGTTCTTGTGGATAGTTTTTTTGGATGTTAATATACTGAGTTTCTGTGTGTGTATCTTTATGTGAATTGTGGTAGTATACTGGGAATGGTGTGCTTTGACTTGTGATTTTTAAGCGTTGAGATTTATTTAACCCAGACTTTGTGATAATTAAAGTCCCCCTGGGTTGGTTGAGGGGAGTCATGCCCTCTCAGATAACCTCTGAAGGTTAGGCCATTTTACACCATGTAAGGCAGCATTGAGTTAGCCAGGTCTGGGAGCCCCTTCCTCTGGTGAACTGAACTGAACCCCTGAAGCAGTGGTGACTCCACTATTTGTGCACATGAGCATGTGAGCCACCAAAGAAATAAATTTATTAACAAAGAAAATAAAATATTATTTTTATAGATTTTTGTCATTTTATAGGGTGAGTTTCTCCCCTCTTTTTAAATATTTAGCTTGCATATTGTATTGTAGGTTACTACACCACAGAGCTCTTGGTTTTTCTTTTGTTGCAGGTGTGATTGAAGAAATGCTGTTAAAAACCAATTTAAGGTGTCGGAGGAGCCACTGACACAATTTCATTCGCACACATGCGAGAACTCGCATAATCTTCAGTTATCTCTTCCAAATTCTCCCTTGGTATGCTTCATTTAGTTGGTTAATTCATTTTTCCATTTTCTGACCTTTTTCTTTATCATTTATCGATGTATATTTTTTACGAACTAGCATAAACAGGTATGGCACTTAAAATTGTTGTTTCAGAACTAATCAATTACATTTTTAAACATTGCCTTTGTAAAGAAAAATTTAAATTACTCAGGCCAACACCTTTGATGAACCTTATTCAGGTGACAGAATGTAAGACTATAGATTTCAAAAGGGAATTTAAGCCTGATTTATATGAGAAAGTTCATGGATTTGTGGATGTGAATCAACTGACAGGCTATTTGGTTTTCCATGTCTCCTGTTTCCAAAGCAGGATGGTGATTCAAGTTGGGTGAGTTATGATGTTACTGATTTATGACATCTAACTCAGAAAATAAAAAAGCATGAATGCTCACAGTCATATTTAAACTTTATCTTAGAATTTAATTTGCTAGGAAAGGTGGATATTCACCAACAACTTAACAGTGCACTTTGTTCAAATATTAAAAGTTGCAATGAGGAGATTTCCAAAAAACCTTATGTTTTTAAAAAATATTGATTGCATTCTGTTGTGTGGTACATTTGAGTTTGCACTTGGAGGACATGATGAATGTGATGATTCATTAAATGCAAGAATTTTCAGAAGTCTTATCAACTTCTGAGCAGAACTTGGTTCGTCTCTTAAAGACCATCTCACTAATGTCACTATTTTTAGAGGAATACCAAAAGGAATTCAGAATAATTTATTAAATTGCATGTTCTCTATTAATCAGATCCATGTAAAAAATGAGATTTCGAAAGCGGGTTTTATTTCTGTAATAGCAAATGAAACTACTGATGTGACATCCATTTTCTAATTGATTGTCGTTTTTCGATATGTTGTAAGTAACATATGACAATTTAAGATGTTTTTAGGAATTTGCAAATCTACTTTGCCGTGGTACAAAATGTGTCACTGAATTTTTTTTAAATGGCTATTTTAAGCTTTGGCCACTGCTAAGGTTAGAAGCAGTGGTCATTTTATTATGGAGGACCAAAAAGGCAACCACTGTTGCCTCCTATGAAGGGACACAATTTACATCCATTCCTTCACCGAGGTTCAAACCTGTGCCCTTCAGTTCAGCAGTCATATTAACTAACCACTTTTCTGTCTGGGCATAGTTGAATGATAGTTTGTAAAAAGTAGTAAACTAAACTTAAAAATGAATATTGCAGTGCTATCATAAAGTAATCATAAATATGTATAAATATATAATATCATAAATATATATCATAAAGTATCAGTAAGCTTGATGAGTGGTCATCATGCGGTGTTCAAGCTTTGATTCGATATACCTACTAGAATGCATAATTTGTGCATTGCTACACACACCAACACACTTTGATTGTTGGGCAAGCGACTAGTTAGGATCAGCCAGTTCGAGCATTTTTTCCGATCTTAGTGATATTCCTAAATTTTTCAGTAACTCTCCACTGAGAATTTGCTGTTCTAAAGGAAACAGAGAAAAGGATATCTTATGGTTCAGCTACTAGATGGAATTTTAAAAGTTGAATCATCAATACAGTGTATGAATGTATGCAATAGTCAATATAGTATATGGAAAAAATAGAGTGTTATGCCACATGTCGATGTGCTGTACGACCAGCTTTGGAAAATACTTAACTCGTTAGAAAGCAAGTAAATGTTTTCCAGTAGTCGTTAGAAAAAGAAAGGAAGAGAACGGACATAGTGACAGAGGAGATACTGGAATCATATGAAAGTTAAGAAAAAAGAAGAGGGAATATTCATATAAATAAAACTCTAGGAGCTAAAGATATATGTGATATTATCATGAATCAAGTGAAAGAGAGATTTTGTTTTATCTGTCACTACTAAGCTCTTTCTCTCCTTAAAGCTACAAAGCTCCAGTAGTACAAGAAAAAGTTTCCAACTCACAAGTAAACCTTCTCTCCTTTGATACCAGTTTTCGGAAACCCATATATTTTCTCAAAGCTTGTGTCATAAGTAGGAAAATCTTAGGGGCAGAGGGACAAGTGTTTAGGAGTTATAGGACTCACAGTGTCAGTAAAATGTTGGAAACATGATACCAAATGTCACTAAAATGCTCATTTCACGTATTTGTATGAACTAATAATATGGTAAGAAGGTGGAGATCTCAATATAAAGGGGAAAACAACTCATTGAAAAGACACAATATAGGTTGGGATGTTGAAAATGTGACTTGTTATTGACTTCAAACAAAATCTATTACAAGAGACAACCAATGTGCAATTCATCAAATAAGCATTGAGATGGGCAGAAAGACAGTTAACATTGGTCACATTTTACAAAAGCGATATCCTCACACTTTGCACACTCATTTGCCAATGAATCAAAGCAGTAATCCATTGGCACAATCCACATTCTAGGTTCATCGTCCAAGTATTCACCCTTATAAAAAGCATACTTAATCAAGTTCTTGAAACAATGAGTGCTGAACTGATATAGTGAAAAGTCTGCAGGGCCAGAAAACTATCCTGATGCCAAATGTGCTCCTGTGTCTCGATAATGATTGTGCCCATTATGTAACGAACAAAAGATTTGTAGTGTCTGAAGAAATGAATATCTAGAGGCTGGATATCTCCCATTCATCCTTCAGGTACCAGTTCTTTCTGTAGGACTTTACCATCAGGTACTTCGGAAGCAGACAATGCATGAAAATACAAGAATATGTCCACTGTACACACTTTAATGATACTTTATGGGTCCTATAGCTCCTAAACGCTTGTTCTTCTGCCCCTAAGACTTCACAGTTTTTCTACTTGTGACATAAGATTTCAGAAGTTATATGGGTGTCTGGGAAACCAGTATTAAAGGAGAGAAGGTTTACTTGTCAGATTATTGATTAAACAAGTGATGTTTATTCCATGTTAAAGAGGGATTATCTGAAAAAACCTATAAGTAATTTACAGAAGATCAGATTTCAGAAATATAACTGGTGCCATTAGTCCTCTGCAATTTATTTTAGGAACCAATTTACAGACTATGGTTTTGGAGACCTACAGACTGTTGCTAATTGTTTTTACTCCTTCAATAATCATTGTGTAAGCTGGGGGATGTTTCTCAACTCTAAAATGGATTAGGACATTTTTAAGAAGCACTATGAGCAAGGACTGACCATGCTTTAAATTTTAAAAGTCAAGATAAATAACATCTAAATTCATTGAAAGCATTTTTGATTTGTTTGCCTGAAAAAAAAAAAAGGCAGGTGTGTGGATTTAATTGACAAAAATTGTACTTGACTATTTTTTAATCGAGGTTCAAAGATATATTGCAAGCAATGTTATGATTTTATGACATTCCATTGTACAAAATAGTAAAATGTTATAATTTTATCACCTATGATAACTTGTTTTCTTTTAGTTGCATTGTTTTCCTTTAACTTGTAAAAACACAAATGCATTTTAACTTAGGTCATATCTGCATACTTAATTTCCAAAATTTTCATGATTTCATCTTGTTTTGTAAACTTCTGTTTAAATAACCCACCACCCGCCACTGCCCTAAAGTATCTGTTGTGATGACATCTGATTTATAATGTTGTAACAATTTCTATGTAGATAGGGCTGGGGTTAAGACAAGTTTGTAACATAATCTTTTAAACATGGAGCAGATGCATAGGGCGATTGAGTAGTAGGGAAAAGTTCTGATAAATTTACTATTTGATGCTTGATTCAGTAAAAACTTCACTTTTTGAAAAATGACTGTAAAAGATTGCTTATTGATTTCCTTGGTGAGTTTTTCTGCAAAATCTGAGGATGTTTATTGTGTTCAGCAATACGTGGTATGTAATTATATTGAGTTTATGATAACTGCAGTGTGGAACAGAAATCCTTGACATGTTTCAAGCAAAAAGAAAAGGCAACTATTTTGTGTGAATGAAAGAGAGTTGCATGGTGTTATTGCTGGGTTGCCAGTTGGTATGGAATAGATTGTAGTCCGAAGAGAGTTCCTATTTAGATCAAGAAATTGAATGCTATTATTGACTTTTCTGTTAATGGTAATCTGCAAGTTGGGGAAATTTTCTGAAATAGAGGATAATGAAGCTTTGAGTTCATCATCTGAATGTTTCCATAGCACAAAAATATCATTTACATACCTCATCCGAAAAGTAGGTTTCTTGGGGAGCTTGGAGAAAGCAAGATTTTCCATATGTTGAGTGTTGATTTCAACCTAGATACGTGACGTTGATGCTCCCATAAAGAGACTTTACTGTTTGTAGGTTTATCCATTGGCTTATGTACTTAAGTGAACTTATGTAAGGCATGAAAAGCTTTAGTAAAGGTTTTTGCCAAAGTGGTTTGAAATTCAAATAAAGGAATAGGTAGAAACAAAGATTTGACATTGATGGTAAGCATGGCAACATCAGGGCTTGTTGCTTTCGGAATTTGTGCAAGAAATTTGCTTATAGGCTGCACACTTGATATACTGCCCTTCATGAAAGAGGAGGAAAGTTTGGCAAGCTTGTATTCAAATTTACTGAATGGTGAATCTTCTGTTTATTAAAGGTCTGGCTGTATAATTTTCTTTGCAATTTTTGATTTCTATAAAAGGTTTTGGTATACTTTAGTCAGGATCAGGCTTAATGTCACCATATGGTATTTTATGTTGAGATACTCAGCTATTTTGTAAAATGTGTTCCATATATTTGGTGTTGGCCATATCTTCAACAATGCATTTTGTACCTCATATTTGTCTGATAAAGAAAATTCTATCTTTGGGGTACAAAATTTGTTGTTGGAGATGGTCTGATCATTTGGGACAGTCAACATTGATTAGATGGCTGTGAATGAATGGCATTTATTCAGACTTCATTAGTGGAAGAACGGCTACGAGTTGTGGCAAGAGAATCAAAATAGAGTACGAAAACTAAGATCCAGAATTGTGTGATCTTTGCAGAATCAACATTTACAACATGGTCAATACTTGTTTTTTTAATTAAACATTTCTTTCGATTTAAGTTGTTTAAGCTGCTTCGCTTTTTGTGCTGATACCTTTCACTTTAATTTTACATGCAAACGTAGTTTCTTATTCAGTTATAAAGCTTCATTGTTCAAATCATGTAGTTGCTTTGTTGTGAATTCCTTCTTAACCAAATTCTTTTCATTCTCAAAAACCTCTTTGTTACTTTCTTCATTATCAGTAGTTACATTTTGTGGATTAAAATCCTGCTACAGATTTCCATTATCTGTTAACTGACTGATAATGGAAGCATTGCAATAGAAATCTTCTGTTATAGCATCATCAATTTATTATCACTTCTCTGTGTATTTCATCACAAAATCCATTAATTAGAAATTTTGCCTTCTATAACATCCAAAATCTATGCCAAAACCAAGGTTGTTATTTTGCCTAATTTTGAAATTGCACATTCTTTGCCCTAACTGCGAGAGCACTATAAAAGGCAGGTACCAGGTATGCTTTTGCGTTGCAGATCCTGCTACAGCTCCGCAGTTAGAAACTCTTGGAATAAAAATTCAAACTAATTTTGATAAGAACTGTAATCATAATAATACCCTGCAAAAAAAAAAAAAAAAAAAAAAAAAAAAAAAAAACAATAAGCTGGATCAGATTAGAAAGGTAAGGAAGACTACAATTTGCTATGTTAACTGAACTCAAGTCCTACTTTCTCTCTTTCCCACTGCTACACCACTAGCAACAAAAAAGTATGAACGACATGCCTCTCTGGCCAACTATGTTTTGGAGCTTCACTAATTGTTTAAAGTCAAACAGAATAAAAGATTGATTCCCCAATACCCTATTTTACAAGACATCTGCTTTGTTTAGTTTTATAGTCTCAATAAAAAGTAGGCACAAAATTTCGCATATTCTTTCTAGTGAAAGTGAAGCCCTTTGGACTATGTAATAACATTGACTTTGAGCTACCAAACAGCTTTTAATGGACTTCATGTAATAGAATTAACATAAGTTACCTTTCCATGCTTGTTTCTTTAATTTTTCCTGCCAGTGTAATTTATTATTATCATTCCTGGAATCACCAAAAACTGATTCCAGAAATAACAATAATTTGAAATATGGGCTGTTTATTTGAAATTAAATATGAGGAAAAGTTAGATTGTTTTCAGTATATTATCATTTATATATTTCCTTATTTGCTTTCTCAGATATTGTTGCAGGAAATTAATATGCAAAAGAAAGTAGTCTTTTTATTTAAAATATTACTTTAACATATATACAGTTTTGTATGCATTTGAATGATTTTTAATAGTATAAAACAACAATGCTCTTATCACTAGTTCTCAACTTTGTAATAAAAAGACTGATTACAAAAAATGCTGTATGGACAAAGGTTGAAATGACTTTTATTGAATTGCAAACAACTATCTATATAGTATTAAAAATTCAGTATTCATTATCTTCAGCCATGCTGAATGGTTGAAACCACAGAATGCTGAGATTTTGACCCAGGTTCTGTCCAAAGCAAAGTTCTAGCCAAAGCTACCTGTATGTTTGTTTTTCGCAGTTATCCGCCACATGTAATACAAATACAAGCCAGTTTCCTCAAATTCCTCCACAAAGGCATCCTTTTCCTTAGGCAGATAGTACTGGTGAGCTTTGCTATACTTAGCTTAACCTCATTTGCTTGGAATTAATGCAGTGCAGTCTTAACATCCTTTTTAATTCTGATAAACTAAAATTTGTAGTCTTCTATTAACATGTATGTTACTGTTATAGAGCATATATGTAGATTAAGGAATTTCATCTAATGATTGTGTGAAAAGTCATACAAAATTCGTTTTTACCAAGAGACTTGATTATATGTTATTTCTTTTATGCAAAACAATCATTACAGAATGTGGATATAAAGTAAATTCATGTATGGAAATGAGTTCCATAGTAATTTTTTAAGAGTTTTTCTTTTCTTCTGAGGAAAATTCTTTAAGGATGTTCTTTTGTCTTATAGAAGTGTTTCTGGCAAGTGTAAAAAAAGCGACCGTTTGTCTTGACAGGAGTCTATGTCTCTCTCTGTTTTACAGTCACCCAAGCTGACATATTGATCATACCAATAGTCATTGATATAATTAAAGATTAAAAATTCAAAATCCTTTCACTTTTCTTGTTTTTCATAGATAATAAGATATTTAAAATATTAATAGATGTCTTCTATGTTAATACTAAATTATACAAAGACAACAAGAGAGGATATATTACAAGAGTCTTTGCAGCATGAAGGCACTCTAAGTAAATGGTGAGCTGAAAGCCCTCAGAATAGGTTGGTGATAGGGAAAGAGGAATGGGAGACCCTCAGACCTGTTCCCCCCAGGGTGCTCTCCTTCAAAATTGGGGCCGAACTGAGCGAAGTCATATTGTCACCTGTATGGCGCTCAAGGCTCTAGCCGACAGGCGCAGTCTTGCTCTCCAGCCACGATTAATTTCGTGGAGTTGTTCTGATGTTACTGTCAAAATATGAGATAAGCCACAACAGCAACAATAAACTTTCTTTTTATTTCATACATTCAGGACCAAATCTTAAGAGTTAATGTAAATTAAATTAATATAATTAAATTAAATTAATATAATTAAACTAAATTAATGTAATTAAATGTAAATTAATGTAAATTTAATTTCCTTTTGAGAAGAATTTTTATTTTAGTACATGTGATTATGATTTATTGTGAGTAGTTTTTTTATGTGTTTAAATAGTTGTCATTCTTTCCTTTCCCTTTGTATTGTAATGAATTTTCATTGTTTATAGATGATGTTGAAGAAAAACAATGAAACATGTCATTCTACTTCTGTGAAACCATGTAAAGCAAACGCTATACATAAATTTGCAGAGGTAGAAGAACATTTGGAGAAAAGAAAAGTAAATGCCCATGAAAGGAAAACACATCGTGTTCTTGAACAGTATGGAAAGGAGAAAGGTATTAAAACTGGTCATGTGGGTTTAGATTATTTTTGTCATTTTCCTATTAAGTACATCTTGTACTATTCTTTTGTTTTCTTTAAGTCCTGGTTGGATTAGGCACATTTGCTTTTAAGCAGTTTATTCGCTTTAGACCAGTTTGAAATGCTTGCTTTTACTTCATTCAAATAAACTGGGATAAAAGATCAAATAAACTCAGTTAAGTAAATACAGAAAAAAGCTAAATACGTGATTAAGCTGAGAAATATTATAAATTGAGATAAATAAATAAATAATGATAACAATAAATTGATGGTTTGATGATAGAAACTAAAATAAATATACTGATAATACGACAATCTGATAAATAATAAGCTCATGATAATGATGATGCATTGATAAATAAACCGAGATAAATAATATAAACAAACTGGGGTAAACAAATGAATAAACTTGGATAAACTGTTGAAATTAGGCCCACCAGTTGCCAAGTAGTAAAGGCCCCGAAAACTGGTAGTTCGGTCCGAGGTTCGACAAACAGGCTGGCTGCATGGGCATTTTCGTGATTTTTCCCATGTGTAACGTGTATGCCAACTAGTTTCCTTTAGAAGGTCCTCTTCGAAGGCATCCCTCCCTTAGCCCTCGAGGCATTGCCATAACCACAAAAACCAACCACTGTTGAACTGAATATTTTAACTTTTTGTGTTTTCTTTGCTCAAATATAAATCTTTAATGAAATTCTAATTTTTTGTTTGACTGCTCTGAATACTTTACAATCTGTGTTGATTTCATGTATGTATGTTTGTAAATTATATCACATAGATAGTTAATACAACCTTATACACTCTACAGTAAAAGGAGCATAAATGCACCTTTAAATTAAACCATCAAGATTCTTTAGATATACTTTACTTAGGTGTACTTTATATTTAAATTAATGGATTACTTTAAATGGGAGAGTTGCACTCATGCGACTCTTCTCTAATAAGTTTGCTGTACTTCTTTTTGGTTGCCCAAATCTTAGCTTCTGTTCGTGCATGTATTCCTCCACTCTTCAAAAACGGTGTTCCTGCAAACCATTCAGAAGCTAAAATAGTATATAGTAGTTAACTATTACTGTATGTATGCTGCTTTACAGCTGCTAAGAGATGAGAAAAATTTTACTCTAACTAATGATGTTCATTTTCCTAAGAAATTAAAACATACTGTATCTACAACAGGTGAACTGTAATATCTTTATCAAATTGAAATGGTGTAAATGTCAGACCAGGAAAAAATGCAACAAAAACTGTCAGTTACTGTAAAGCAGAATAGCAAAAACTCTACATCACAGTAATCACAGAAAATGCCATGAATTGCAACAGGCTTTGCATCTTGGGCTTGAGTACACAATTTGGTTTGATCAGAAAATTGTACAGAAATTCTGTTTTGCTATTTTTTCCCATTCTACAAGACAGTCTCAATTTCATACCCAATTTGGGGTTCATGATTTTCTTGTAATAGTGAAAAGATGAATTTAGAACAGTGTAACTGATCAAGAAATAATGATTTTGTTCTACATAATTTTGGTCCATTGTATAACCAGCCTTTGGTGTATTCCTGTCTTGAACTCTTAGTATGGCATTATAAATAAATTTGGAATAAATTTATTATATAGTTTAAACAGATTTTATATTTTATACAGCCACATAGCCTCTTGGCATGGGAGCACACATCATAGCCCAGGTTCGATTCCCTGAAAAGGCATGGACGTTTGTAAATTTATATTGTTTTTGTAGCATGACAGCACTTGAAATACTACTACTGAGCAACTGGTTATTCTGTAGTACTACTTGACGCGACTCTTCTGGGGGTTGAGATGGGCTGTGCTGAGTCTTGGTCGATGATGAAGGGTCAGGCTAAGAATTTTTTGCGGATAATTAGAGAAATAAGTGACATCTGGATTATCAACTGGATTTAAAGTTCCTGAAACTTTGGATGAAAATAGGATTGTTAGTCTGACCTTCTTTCGAAGCATTAAATTAAAAATCTCATTTTTTTTCATCTGCCAAAAAAAAATGGTCAAATCAAAATTCTCATCAAATCTAATTGTGTTTCATCCACATTAAAAATAAGATCATTAGGATTTCACTACAAATACAGAACTTTAGATGCAACCTCAATAGCGATTTTAATTCATCCCAGACCTTAATGCAAATGATGCAGTGATGGTTCAAGTATTCATTGTTCATAAAAGCTATATATATATACCATATTTGACAGCATGTAAGACACACCCTTATTTAGAAGGCCACACGCAAGGGAAAAAAGTCTCAATAGTCCGCGCAATACCACAATGACTTAAAATGTAGTTTCTTTTAGTTCTCACGTTTCGTAACAGCCAAATAAACAATCATTGAATGCAATTACCAAACATATTTTTATTAGGGAAAATTAACAAATGGCGAGCTATTTTGAAACATGATATGTAAATTTCAATAACTGAATAAATGATAAATAAATGGCAAGCAATAGCAATCAAGCATAATACAAAATAAAGCAGAAGAAACAACAAAAAACACAGATTCAAGGAAAACATTGCCTATCATGAAATTAGACTTTAAATCACTTTCAAAACCATAAAAATCCTTTTCACTATCACCATCATCGAAAACGAGAATATCGTCATCACTACTGTTTGTGTCATCGCTAGTATCACCTTCTTCGAATAATGCATCATCTTCTGTTCTTCTGTTCCATCAAGAGCATTACTGATTCCGCACTTCTTAAAGGGTACTTTAACAATTACTTCAGCCTTTACATCCTCCCAAGATCTTTTTACCCACTCGCACACTTGTGAAATAAAGGGCCGCTTCATTCTACCTGAGGGTGTCAGGGCATGATGTGGCTCTCCTATCCACTTGTTCCATTGTTCTCACACTTTTTCCTTAAATGGCTTATTCACCGATACATCTAAAGGCTGCAATTGGCTAGTCAGTCCACCAGGAATGACAGCTATCTGGGTTTTTAATTCTCTTGCTTTATTCTTTATGGTTTCAGTTCTATGGGCGCTAAACTGATCCAAAACCAAAAGAGAGGGTTTTCTTAAGAGTCCACCAGGTTGCCTCGCTCCATACGCTCTGTAACCACAGTTTTCATTCCAGCTTCGTCCATCCAGCCTTTTGGAACATGAACAATTACACCCGTTGGAAGTTTTTCTTTCGGATGAGTTTTTTCTTTTGAATATGAAAACTGGCGGCTAGTTTTGTGCCATCAGCTTAACATGTTAGAACTACCGTATATTGGGTTTTTTCATGACCTGTGGTGTTAATGGTTATTGATTTAGACCCTTTAATACTCACAGCCTTGTTGGATGGTTCATCAGATGTGAGTGGAATTTCATCCATATTTCCTATTTGACCAACTCAAGAAGTTTTCTTGCGTGCATTTATAACAAACTATGAAATGTAGTATTTTTCTTCATAATCTGCTGACTTTTTGTGCAATAGTGTTTTTGTGCGCATTGATAACCGCCTTTTCAATGAACCTGTAGCACCACCTCAGACCTGAAAATTCGATTCCCATACTGCAAGTCGTTTGGCCTCATTTATTATCATTTTGTTGAAACACTTATCCCAGATTTCCCCTTATCGATCACCCACATTTTATGGCATTTTCAAGTTCAGGCCAAGATGGAGTGGGAATCGAAGGTTTGTTTTGTTCTTTAGGAGTCTCATTGATCTTCCTGCAGTCGCCAAGTACGTATAATTTTTCGGTAGGTGGTGACCGAATGCCTTGCTGCTGCTCTGTTTCCATGCATTTGGCATAGTTTAACACTCCTAGTTTATACTGAATTGTATAGCTTATCTTGTTCCTGTAGTTTTTGCGAGGGTATTTTTTTTACACAATAGTTTTAAGCACCGATACGACTTTTAACAGAGTAGCACCGATACCGACACCTGTGTCGACTGAGTCAAGGAAAGTCTACGTAAAGAAGGAAAGGCTCCAGAAACGTAATGTGACCGTCGAACCTCGAGCTTTGGCGCTTTTGGGCAACAGCTATTTCATGCATGTGCAAAATAATCATGACAGATGTTGAAAAAGTTATGTGTTTCTAGACCTTTATCCGGGCTAAAAATAGCATTCAGTATTGAAAGTTAACCTGTCTCCTTCACGTATAAGACGCAGGTAACGTTTTTGAGACCAAATTTAGGAAAAAAAAGTGCGTCTTATATACCGTCAAATACGGTATATATATTTTTGTACTTCTTAAATTGTTAATTTTCTCTCCTTCATTTTTTACTTAATTTTCAAATTATCAGACATTTTAATTAGCAAAGCTTGATCTATCTAAAAATGGGAGTTAAATGTATACCAAATATAGCTGCAGCATTTTTAATGTTATGGTCAAGAAAAATATGTATATTTTATTCTGGTGGAAGGAGGTATAAAGTATTGAATTCAAAATTTTTTAGGTTACATAATGTGAATGCTAAGAATGAATTTTTACAAATGACCATATAGTTTTCTGCTTGTTTTGGCAGTATTTATTATTACCAATGTGCTATTGTAAATTTATGTGTAAGTTTCCATGTGCTTTGTTCTCAATCAATTGACAAGTCAGCCAGTAAAACAAATAATTTTTTTTGAAAACAACAAAATTAATTTTTTGTTATACCCTTTTTAGTAATTTGTTAAATTAGCAATTGATTAATTCATAGAGAATTTAATTTTTAAAAATTATTATGTTAACTGAATATACTTGTTTAAAGAGTATTGTATGGAATACAGTTTTATGTGTCACATTTTATGTGTTTGTGTGTTTACTGAATTTTATGTGTACGAACATGTCATCAACTGCATATGTTTTACTGACTTGCCATCTTTTTATATCCTTTTGCTGAATTAATCGTTGACCATGTGTGTACTGAAGCTCGTATTCATTTAAATGAAACAGAATATGGCTGAGGTGGAGAAGAACATTATAGTTCTGGTAAACAAAATATATGGAATAGTTAATCACGTTTATTGAAAGCAATTTTGAGATATGAAAGAATTAAAAATTGATATTTAACTCTTTGCACTGAAGGCCTTTTTCACTCGGACAAACCAGCAACTCAAGACAATTTCAGCTATATTATTAGCAAAGAGCTAATATAGCTTTAATTTTTGTAAAGCTTAAAGCTATATTTTGCCTTTTTCCCAAGCGAATGCTATGCTAAGACTAACTAAACTAAGTTAAGATTTGGCTAAGAGTGCAAGCCAACCGTAGCCCATGAAAGTACTTCAGATAACAATAGCTTATCTCACATCTTAAATAAACAGATCGAGTTCCAAAACACTGTAGTGCTGGTACAGTACACATCAAGTGGACACTTCAAATCAGCCGGGTGCCGCTCAAGTGCAAAGGGTTAATTACAGGTAAAAGAAATACAGAATTTTTAGAAGAAAACTATTGAACATACTGTTGGTAGACCTGTATTAATCAAGTCTCAATTCAGTTTTCATATTCTTCATTTAACTGTCAGCATGTGATTTATTAAATCTAATTCAAAATAGTAAACTGAGATTGCTAAAACATTTGATGCAGTCATTGTCCAGCTCCTAGTTGTCAAAAATTTCCGAGCAGTTTCATTGTTGATGTTCTGACCACTTTGTAGAAAATATAACTGTGTTGTTTCTTTTCATTTTTATTGTTTAATATTACTGTGTTATTTTAATAATGAAATAATCCATTTGTTTGTGACTTTTAATAAGTTTTTTTTTTTTTTTTTCATCTATTAGTTTTAACTGCATTGAAAACAATCATTTTGGAAATGGAAGATTTTAAAGGAAACTTTAGTGAAATGGATGTGAGACCTACGTCAGTACCAGATGCTCTTGGTAATGAGTTGAATGGTTTTCAACATTTTGAACTGTTGAAACGTTTCATTGAAAATGTTTTAATTTGTCGAAATGTAACAACTCCGTTTCGCATTTTTAGGTAGCACTTTTGATAGTAGTGCATAGCTTCTGTCAATCATAGATTAGGATTACATGTTTATTCTAGGTAAAGTATACCTTTTGTTTTGTTTGTTGTTATGTAAAATATTGTAATTTATTTATTACTGTCATCTTTCTTCATTTATGTACATAGACATTTTTTCTGTAAGTATATTTTGTTTGTTGTTGTTATGTAAAATATTGTAATTTATTTATTACTGTCATTATTTCTTTCATTTATGTATCATAGAATGCAAACCTGCAACTGCACAGAATCATTTAAAATGTTTAATAATAAAATTATTAAATTTTGTGCAATTAAGGCATTAGTAAATGACTGCTTTGGAGAATATGTCTTGAATTCATAGACATCTGAATGCATATTAACAATTTTAGCTGATTTAATGTTTTAATATTAAAAACTGAAGGGATTAATGAGTTTTGTGACTGTATTGAAGGGCATAATTGAATAATGCTAATAAATTATATGCAAATAAAATATTAAATCACATATTTGTAATTAGTTCAGCTTTAAGTGTGCTAATTACAAAGAAGTTCTGAATTTTACAAAAAATGTTACTGAAGTTATTCTAGCAAAGTAAAAAAAAAGGGCCCAGTTTCTTGCCTTTAATATGTAAATGTTACCTCATATATTTTGTTTTAAATGCCATATTATAGTATTGCTGTCTGTCACTAAATGATTTTGTGTAAACTTTCATTCATAATCCCCCTCTAAAAAAGGGATATGATTTTAATGTCATCCTTAGGCTTGTTCATTGAAAAAAAAAATTGGAGATAAGAAAACTGTGTGCCATGAACATTGTACAGAAATTTATTTTGAAAAAAAAAAATGAATTATCTATCACTATTGGTAAAAGTTCACACTGATCTATATTCATTACAGCTTCGGGAACGACCAATAGTTTCCGACCATTCTCCAGGTCTTTCTGGTCTTAAAATAACAGTCTGTTGCCTATTAAATAGTTGCTCTAAAGAACAACTTTGAGAGTTTAAATATCTAGTTAAATGGGTGATTTTAAATCATTACTTTCTCTTTGTAAGTGAGAAATTAGTCGTATCTAATGAAAGAAATAGATCATTTACCTCTGTGTTGGGGAGGAACAATAGCAGAACCAGTTTCGCTTTCTGGGAGCAGAGTTTGTGGCAAAAGTATAATTGCCTTATTAGCAGAGGGCAGAATTTCCCCTGTGGCTATACACCTGTCATCCTCATTGGTTTCATTGTATTTTTGTACATTTTCAGGTTTGGTATCAAGAATTTCACGGTTTCTTTGATATCAACCCCAGTACATCGATTCTTGACAAAAGCTTCCTTCATTTTGATTTTCTGCTAATTTTTCAGCAGTCTGGTTCCCAAGTAAATAGTGTTGGGTGTCCAAACGTTTTTGAATGATTTCAGCCTGAAATTTCAATTTGCTTCTTCTCAATTCTATCCTGTTCTTTTTTTCCCATCTCAAGCCTCACTGAAGTGATGTTTTCCAAGAGACATTTCTCAAGCTCCTTCTAGTAAACTTTGTTAATCATAATCTGCTGCTTTAGATCATTATCCTAAGCTTAGCTCTGACCTTTTTCCTTAACTTTTCAGCTAAGGCTTTAGAATCATCTTTTCTAGCTTTTGCTCAGAACTTGAATTCATATAAATTAAATTACACAAATAACAGAATAATTTAATTTGCTGCCTCAATATAAAAATTCAAGGTACTTGACCTACTTTCCTAGATCTGAAGACTTGACACACTGGTTTGAGCTTGGAATATGAAGATGTTAATCATAACCTAAGATTTTTGTGGATATGGGTGCTTCAAACACATTATAGCAGTTATTAAAACACAAGCACTTTTATCACAAAACAATACTTTACTCTCTCAATAACACATTACTTTTTGGACACTAGTGGTTCTATAAACTTAAAGATGCTGCTGATGTTTTTAGCCTGATGGTCCACTTCTTAAACAGGTGAAATTTTTACACAGAAAATGTTCACAGGCACAGAAGGTCCCACAAAACTTAATGTACTGATGGTCTTCAGATAGTGAGTCCTACAAAACTTAAGCTAAATTCTGGAGCCTGACTGTCCAAATTCTCTGCAGAGTAAAATGCAAGAGTTCTCATTTGATGATCAAACTAAAATTGCCTCCATGGAATACTATCATACTGCTGCCACCAAGATATTAAAGCTGTAATGCTACCAAACTCCTGGGATGGAAGACATTAAGACAGGTTGTCTTTTTAGATTTATTTTAAAACTTAACAAGTGATAAAAGTTTTAACTTAAGAAGTTTAAAACTTAACAAGGATATAATAAGGTCTGAATTAGTATAAAAAAAACATACTGGCATTATTTTTACAGGATGAAAAACAAAATTTCCCAGATGCAAGATGTGCTTTACTTCAACGATATCTTTTGTACAACTCCTCATTCTTCTTTTGTTGCAGAACAAGAAGGCAGATACTCTGCAGGAGTGCAGTCCAAAGGAAAAAAAAAACCTCCTTCAAGCACTTTCACTTGGACCACCCTTGAGCTAGCTGGAAATGCTGGTGTTTTCCCCATGAGTGTAGGAAACTTGCTAATTGTGAAGATATGTTATTTGTCATAATATTATTGGACAGGATATCCATGTTATATACACAAATGTTGTCAGATGTAATTGATAAATTATTGATTGCTTGTGATTGCTTGTCTTTCCCAGATGCTTGAAAAGAAGGCTTTCTGACAGTCTAAGTCATAGAACATAAGTAAGAATGAAGAAATATGGTTTCTGTACTCTTTAACTGTTGTTTCCAAATCACCCAATTTTGAGCGTGGAAAAAATATGATGGGTCTCCAGGTGCTTTGAATTTTTGTTCTGTTGAATAATTTCATGTATATATTTATAATTACAGTGAAGTCTTGGTTTACATAATTAATTCCAAGTATATTAATCATCTGAAATATTTGTAAACAAAATCTGTTTCTCCCACAGTAATTGCTGTAAAATAGATTAATTCATTCTTGAACCACAGGTGACTAGTTATTTAAGTTTTACATCACTGCTTTGTGTACAGTTTCATAAACAGAAACCAGTAAAAATCATTAAATCTAGACAAAAATATAAGCATAAAATTGAAAGGATAAAACAGATGAAAATTTAATTATACTGTACCTTTACAATAGCGAGTGAACGACGCAAGTGGAAAGTAGTGACGGAAAGAGAAAGGTTCGTTTTGGTTTATTTAACTGCAGTAAAGCACTCGAGGGCTATCTGCCAAAGGGGGGATGCTTACATGGAGAATCTTTTCTATGAAAACTGGCTTGTATCCTCATGCACCCGTGCAGTCAGCCTGTTTGCCTGTTATCAAACCCAGGTAAAATTACCAGTCTTCAACATCTTTATCGCTCAGGAAAGAAAAAGGAAAAGATTATTAGGAATAAGTTAGGAATTCTGATTTTCATCAAAATTGGATATGCCTGTAACTTGTTACTGCTTTATCCAGGGTGTATCAGTAAGAAAACATCTTGCTGTCTTTTGCAAAACTCTACTGGGATCATCTTTTCTTTCATCTTCATTTTAAGGAAACTTTCACAATCATTAATTTAGAAGTTGAACAACAAAAATCAGCGTTATATTTTCAAATTTTCACGGTAGATGCAATTCTCTTCCATTTCTTGACATTCTGATCAAACGTAACACATCCAACTTCAGTACTACGGTTTACCTTCCACCACACTTCATGTTATATGACTAAACAAAAGTTAGCTTCATTTTATTCCTATGTTTCCCATGCTCTTCAAGTTCGCTCCTCCAAACTATGTCTTGATGAAGAACTAAATTATTTAAAAGCAGTAGCTATTGACAGGGCTTTTCACCCAACATTATGAAACAAGCAGTTAAAAGAATTCTCATCTCAGCACACCAAAAGGCACACTCTTACTTTAGGAAATTATAAAAATTCTGTTGTCATTTCCTTCTTTCCATCAATTAGCTATAAAGTTGCATGTATTTTACAGAAATTTAACTTTCGGGTCATTTATCTCTCTCAAAAAATTCCAATATAATTCTGGGTATTTACAGGATTCTTGCTAGTGTGATTTAATTACTTGGTCAAATACCTTCAAATTTCATTTAGAAACTGAGGCATATGTTAGAGAAATGAACACATAAGTCTCTGTTCCCACATTGTGTTCTGCAATCACATTTAAATCTTATGCTGCCAAATTATTCAAAAAAAACATTTCATTGTGAACGGATTTTAAGGCATTTTACTTCAAAAATATTCTGTTCTAGTAACGCCCGATTCCAATCCACTTTACCTTCACCTTAAAAATTTGTTTTCGATCTGGTTTATCACAATGGTCAGTAGCTGACTCCGGTCCGGCTTCTCTTATCCGTTCTTTGCAGCTGATAGATGTCGGTAAAACCAGCGAAACTAGTTCTGTGAAAATTTGAAAATATAATGCTGATTTTTGTTGTTTGACTTTGGTGTTCGGTGTATTGCATTTTGCATTAAAAGCTAGTGATTACCAGACAATAAATTTCTTTCCAGACACCTATCCTTTCCTTTTTTTCAATGGTTTGTGAAAATCTGTGTCTGACAAATTCTTTTGACCTGTTCTTGAACCTGTGGCTGTGCTAAAATGTTGAAATTTTTGAATGTTTGAAAATAAAGCATTTTTCCCAATAAGAATAGTTTACTTTTGGATGTGCTTTATTTGGCTTGTCATTTTTAGCCATTTCAGTTGTTTTTAATTGTTGTAATAATTGTTTGGAATTATTGTACATGTCGATCATTTTGCATTTGATTTGGCTTATGCTTCTCATGTGTACTAATCCATATTCACACATATCTTACATATATTGAAATTCTGATCTGTTCTATTCACACACATTTAAGTTTTCATTATATTTTGTATGATGCCATAAAGAGGATCTTAAGCAAAAACCTCTTAACTAATTTGTTAAAATTTTGGATGAATAGTTAAAATATCTACAGTTTGTCTTTTCAAAGTTCATATTTCATCTTTAAATAAATTATTTTTCAATTCAATATGCTGGAGAATCGTCCTAATTGAATGCTTTTTGTTAATTTTGAATGAAAATCTTTGATACAATTTAAGAAACAGTGTTGTTATTCAGTGTTTTCACCATCTGAAATTTCACATTTTCTGTAGATATTAATCATTTCTGAAATGGCTTCCTTTTATATTCCTGATGATGCTGTATAACAAAATTTAAGTATTGCTTCAAAATAAATTTCTTTCCATTCGCAAAGAAATCACCCAGGTTTCATTCATATATATATAAATATTGAATATAGTTTTACTTCCCCCTTTTTAGATTTATTATTTTGTATATGCGAATTGCTAACGTAAAACAAAATTATTTTGCTGCAGTAAGCACTTTCATGTTGAGTATACCTAATCGCGTTTATTGTGTTCTTATATATATTATTATATCATTGGCTTCTCTCATAAAATTAATCATATGCTCCTGGATTTTACTTTAATAATGAAAGTATTGTTTAATCCCCTAAAACTGTAATATTTCAAAACTTCTTTTTCTTCAACTGAAAGTGATTTGTTTTATACCCATATAAATAATCCTATTTAATAATTATGAAATCTATGTATCTTATAATAAATACTGATTTCATTGTTGCTGTTTTTTAGTTTCCATGCTGAGGAACTCTTATGCTAAAGAATGTGAAAAACTGCCATATTCCATATTATATTGTTATGTTTTATTGATATCTGCTATTTGGTTATAAGGTTGTTAAAGGCCTTCTTGTTATATATACAGTTGTAAATAAATTTTTATGACAAATTTACTGATATTTATTTATTCATTTCATTTTATAAAAATGCAATACTTCATTCTAAGCCATGTTTCTTTTTACCTTTTGCTATTCATGGCCATTTAACCCTTTCCAGCATGCTACCCTTTAATGTTGGAATTTTGATAGAAAAAAAAAGAAAGGTAGACAGTCTAATCAGGACTGGAAGAGTACAGAGGTAAAATTTTGTGAAGATAGCACTTATTTTAATTCTATGGGTGTGCCCGCTACAGAAGTTTAGAGCTTTGAAAAGAGTGCTGAAACAAGCATTGCTGGGAAGTGTGTAAAAGAGTAAGAGATTTTGCATACGATTATAAAACACTAGACTCTGAATACCGTAGCAGATTTAGCATTACCCAGGATGTGCCACGGAGAGGCCTGCTAATCTACATCCCCCCCTCAAAAGCTCTTTGTTATATGATGATTACGTGCATATAAATGAAGAAAAGCAACTTGAGTATATGATAGTTACATTATTCAGAGTTGCCACGCTACCTGGAAAATCGGGAAAACCGAAAAAAGTCAGGGAATTTAAATGTTTTAGTCAAAATTTGTAAAAGTCGGGGAATGTCATACAGCGATCCCCCAAAAAGCGAGTTTAGCTCCAGTGTTGGAAACTATCACTTTGTTGGCGAGTTATGTATCGGATGAGCGTCATTCGGGCAGCTGGTGTAGAGCCAATTTTTGCATTGTCTTTTAGAAAGGCAAAGCAAATTTGGTTTCCAGTAACCGCGAGAATCCTAAGACTCGCATGTTTTCGAGATTATGTTGAACTAAAGAAAATACCTTCCCATTCTCGTATGCAACAAAATCGGTTTAATCCTAATATACGGTACCATGGACTCTGATCTAATGTAAGAATGTCTATGTAAAGAAAGAAAGGTTCCATAGACGTAATGTAAATCAGTTTGCTAGAAAGCGGAGGGAAAAACTTGCCAAGGGGATTTGGCGACGGAACCTGGCGGCTAGAATTTCCCCCCTCTGCGATGTGTACAAAAAATTGTAGAGCATGTGTTAAGAAGAAACGTTCTTCGACTTTCGTGATAATTTATACTCGGATTTTCAAATTTTTTTTTGCTCAAAATAGCTAATCTATTAGTTAATTTACTCGCTCAAAAATTTTTTCTTTGCCCTTAAAGTTTAAGGAACTTTAAAACGATATTCGGTTTATGTACTCTTGATAAACTTGACCTTCGAATTTCACGAGCTTCGGCAACAGATATTTCACGCATACAGAGCAATTTCCCTCTACGTTGGGACGGTGCCATTTCTGTTGCAGAGAAGTTTTTTTATCTTAACAATACATATTCTTTTTATTCTGACCTCCATGTATGGTACATACGGGATTTGGTGACATTATGATAAGCAGTAACAACAGTTACTTCTTTCTATCTCTTAGTCTCTGTTTAAGAAGGTGTTGGGCAGTAAACCGGTCATTTTGGTGTTGACAGCAGTTTTCAAAATTGTACCAAGGCTGTAGCAAAGACTAGGATTTTATCGCAAAATCTTAAACTTTTTTTTTTTTTTTTTTTTATTTTAATAAATGCCTTACTTTTAATTTTGCAGTAAAATAAAAAAATAGTAATCAGTCATAGGCTAAAATATGACTATTCGCCAAATCATTATTGTAAATTCAATTTTTAAGTACTAACTTCATTATGTTTTATATCATTAATTTTCTTCTTTCCTCTAATTTATTTATTATTAGTTAATACTTTAAAATTTCAGGGAAATTTCTCTGGCAATTCTGAAACAATCTGCAGTATGATGACTACTTCTGAAATTTAATGCACATATTTTTGTATGTATGGCAAATAAATATAACTTTTTATTTTAAAATATTTTATAGATTTATTTTTCGTTTAGCTGCAACATGTCTGTAAAAATCATTTTAATCCAGATGGGTCAGATTCTAATCTCAATCTTCAGTGGAGAAACAAATATTATAGCTATACTAGTAATGCTTTCAGGATTATATATATAATAAGTCTGATGCAATTGGCAAATTTTTGTGTTTTCAAGTGGTACCATAATTAATTTATCTCTCAGTGCAGCCAACACGCACTATGCAGATAGACTGGAATTTTCTCAAAACGCACTTGGAAAACCTGGAAAAGTCAGGGAATTTCATTATCCTCTTTAAGTGGCAACCCTGATTATTTACATTTCAGATTTACACTTTCATCTGTTTTGGTACTTTTCAAAGAAAGTGACACCACATTTAAAAAAGCACAACCCAACATTGCATGTTTTGCACAAGTACTGGGATCCGTATCAGATTCAATATGTGAAGGCAATTTGTGTAGCACTTTCAGTGCTTCAGAAATGGTAAGCCCTCTCCGATCATTTGGAAAATAATCAAAAATCCGAAAAAAATAAACTAATATTATATTTACAATTAGAAATTACAAGCTATAAAATTAAATAAACTTCTACAGTTCAAAACTATCGAAACATAGCACTAACAAAACTTCTTTGTGCAAAAGCAAAATGAAAAACCAAACAGCTAACTGATAAAATTACTCCTGACCTTCAGAACATCACCCCAACAATTTCTTAGTTGATAACCAAACCTCCCCTCCAGAAAAAGCGAAAAGAAGAAAGAAAAAAAACAGGAAATGAAATACAGATGTCTACCCACCTTTCTATTATGAATGAGCTGCAGAGAAATCAAGATACAGTTGTTGGTCATGTCCTAGTCTCTCAGTGATCCCACTCTGGGCACACCTGATGGTCGTCGTTCGATTTTACGTAAGATGTCAAGGTAAAAATTTAAAACTAATATGGAATAAGGAGATTAGCATGCAGCCCAGTAAATAACATAGAAATTTCTTTTCAAACAATTCCTTTTATATCCTAAAGACTTAAAAACTATCCTTTTACATCCTAAAGACTAAAAAAGCTGGAAGCTTTCTTTGAAAAAAAGAGGGTCTTTAAAATATTGGAATTGCAAAATTGTTTATGTAGTGAATTATGATTGGCTCATTTAGCATATTTAGCTGATATTTTTGGAAAATTATATGAATCGAATTTAGGATTACAAGGCCAAAATGTTAATTTGTTTACCATTTAAGATAAAACAAATGCAATGATAAAAAATACGTGAGCTATTAATCAAAGAATTGTATAATAATATTTTAAGCTTTATAGTTTTAGGAAATTTTCTAATCGAAAATTATTTTGAAATAAAAGAAGAAATAGGATCCAATATTAAAAGTCGTTGTTTTTCATTGATAAATAATTTCAACTTGTATTTTCCCGAGATTCTTTCTTTCATAATCTTTAACCCAGAGTATCACCTGCAACAGAATATTTGGCATCGAATCTAAATAATAAGATATTCTGCATATTTTGTTCTGAGAAGCAAATCGTGGAACTGTAAAAGAACTCCTAAATTAACATTACAAGGAAAAAAGTACTGTTGAAAAGAACGTTGTTGTTTTCTGTGTTTAAGAGATGGACATGGGGTGAAAACGTGCCGTCCGAAAATGAATTGCCAATTGTGTGGGAAAAAGCCATTTACTTTTGTGCAGAACTTTGCCACAAGAATATAATTCTTCCACGGTTAACAAAAGCAATGAACTGTACAAAGCAATGATAAAGTATGATGAAATCCAACGTGTATAAATCTTCCAACGTTTTTTCACAGATTTTAACGGGTATAGGGGGTACACTCGACCCTCCTGGCCACGGAGTGTCCTCATGATCAGGGGAAAAAGTGTGACCCCCAAAAGGAAATTAACAAATACAAATAAGGAACAACATATAACAAACACTCACGAACATACAAACAAAAATTAACACTAAGGGCAACATCGGATCACAATTTCAATTACATTTCAATTTGCATTGATAAATTTGAGGATGTGCAAAATGTAAAAGAGGTTTGATATCAAAATTATTACTATATATAGCATTGTCAATTTTATAAAGCTTCCTCGGATCATCAAAGACAGGACAGTCCTCCACGAAGTGTTTCGCGTCGCCGATGATATTGCAAAAAATACAGAGTCCATTATTTTGTAAATTGAATCTCTTTAAATAATAGGGAAATCTCCTATGGCCCGTGAGAATTTGGTTTAAATCAATGCTATTAAAAATAGCCATTTGGGTAGAAATTCTGATAGTTTTCATGTATCCTTTATTTTTTGGTGAATCTTCCCACCGGAGTTTCCATTTATCAATATAAAATTTCTTCATATGTGTGATTGGCCATCTGTTTCGATCCTGAAATTTCAATAAAGGGGAGATCCGTATCTGAGGCTGCCTCTTTGGCCAGACAGTCGGCCCTTTCGTTTCCTATATCCAGCTTTGATCCAGTTCAGTTTTACATCTAAGTAACCATTCAAAGTTTGTAAACAATTTTTGATTTTCAAGATAATAGGATTGGCGGTGTCTGGGCGGCAGAGAACATTGAAGCAGCGGCAAACAGTCTGTGTAAATATTAATTACATTAAATTATTAAAAAAATAACAGTTCTTAATTAATTATTAGTTTAATAATTAACAGACCTTAACAGTGTTAGTGAGGGGGAAAATATTAAACGCGAAGCTCGAACAGTAATAAATTCTGGCTCTCAAACAATCGTATATTCTCAAAACAACGGCGGAAGAAATGAAGTACGACTCCAAACAGAAAGAAAATCCTACGGCATGCCTTGTTTGGTGGCTCCAATACGTTGACCTACCAGCATGATGTGTTCACGATGTACTTGTCAAATTTAACGGAGGACTATAGTTGCCATTTTGAAGGACTTGGACAAGTAGTGAT